TAGGATGTAGGGTTTAGGGCTTATAGGGTTTACAGGGTTTATACGGTCTGTAGGGTTTAGAGGGTTGAGGGTTTAGGATGTAGGGTTTAGGGTTTAGGGCTCTATAAGTCCCGAACATCCTCCCCCTAACCATGGACACTCGTACCTAGGTTTTCACTATGCTTCCAGGGACCTTATTATTGGGTCCTTAAGGGGTCTAGGGCCCCACCTATAAGGTCCTTGGAAGCATAGGTTTTAACTTGTCCCTAGAAGCAGAGCTACTTTCAGAGTGGATCACGACCCCTTCCTAGCCATGCATCGTACAGTATACCCCGGTATACAAAGCACAGTACTAGGCCCTACTAGGCGGCCCCGTCAACCCAAAACTCCAAAGAACCCTACACCTTCAACTTTAAACCCTAATTGCACCCCAATGCCCAAAGCTTCCCTAAACCTCAACCCCAAACTCTTTTAAAAAAAACCTTAGCCTCAAAAATCCCATCTTTTAAGAACCCCTAAGCCTCAAAAATGCCACATGAGACAGCACAGAACGGACTCGGCCAGTCGAGCAAAGCCTACCCGCTGCTCATCGCCAAGATGTTTCCAGACGGTCTTCGAGGCCCCCTCCCCCTGATTGATAAACCTCTTAGGGTTTAGGGTTTAGGGTTTAGGGTTTAAGGTTTAGGAGTTAGGGTCTTATAGGGTTTAGGGTTCAAGGTTTAGGGTTTAGGGTTTAAGGTTTGGGGTTGAGGGCTTAGGGTTTTAATACAATCCTGCTACATTCCATCAAGGCATACGGTGCAGCTTATGGGGATACCTTTTGTTGATCCCTCTCCTACCGTCTTGATGGGGTTCAGACGGAGCTCGGGGGAAGTTTGGGGGCTTGAGGGCGTTGGAGAATCAGGGCTTTACGGGCTTTGGGATTTGGGATGGACTGCTTAGTGTTCTAGTTGCTTTAGGGTTTAGGGTCTTTAGGTGTGGCAAAGACTCCTAAACCTCAAGCACCACGAACGCCTCCTGGCAGCCTGAACCCTACATCCCCCAACATCTGTACATCTCCTGGGGCCTTGTTTAACAGTTTCCATGCCTACAGAAAACCTAAACCCTAAAACCCTAAAACCCCGGAGCCCTACAAAGGCCTTCTGATCGTTTCCATGGTGCTGGCCATGATGACAAGCCTGGACTCGGTCTGGCGCTGAGCTGCTTCTTGGGGCCTAAGATAGGTTATAAGTTACCTATGGTCTCCATTGTAGTTCCTCTTGTTTTTGGTTTAACCAAATCTATATTAAGGATCCGAAAAGGTAACCCCAAAAAGGAACTACAATGGAGACTATAGGTATAACTATAGTTAATCCACGTATAACCCCACTTATAACTACGCATGAACCTCCAAGTAGGTTTGGCGTCATTCGCGTTTGAGGCGATCCGGGGGAAGTGGGGGACACATGTACAGATTCAGCTTTCGGATTTCATGCATTAGTAAGAGGGGGGGGGGGGCGTCGTCTTGAGGGTTTATGTTTCAAGGATTTTGAGGATATCAGCATTGCGGTGCTTCAAGCGTCGGATATCTCATCTCGTCCCAGGTATCTTCGGCTAGAGAGTATTAGGAGACTTAGAACTCCCACTTTTATAACTACCCATGAACCTCCAAGCAGGAACCCTTATAGAGCCCGTAATAGAAGCCTTAAAGGAGCCCTTATGGATCCCTTATAAACGAACCATATGGCGGGCGTAGCTTTGCACACTCGGTTGCCCTTGCCACTCCCAAGTTGCCAGTTGAAGTTTCTGCTTTGTCCTGCTATTTTTTGAATATAATGTCTTGCAATCATCGTCACAGTCATCACCACCCTCGGCTTCATCCCCGAACTCATCACCAGCACCATGACCATCGCCAGTATCGCCATCGGAACCATTCTCACAGCCCAGCAGTGGCACATAAGCCGTAAGAACATGCCGCAACAAACTTCTGCGAGACCAAAAAAGGGGCCTTCATCGTTAGAATAGGTTTTTTTTTGTTGGGGGGGGGGGGGTATATTATATTATGCTATAATTATGTAATATATCAAGGAGCCCCCAAAGCCCTCTTCGAATTCTTAAACCCCCTAAACTATCTGGTAGAAGCATCGACCCGGGATCTCCCCGCCGTTTTCTTGCAGCCCATCCTTGGGCCCATCTCCCCAGAGACTCCAATATCCCTTAATTAAGGAATATAGCTTAAAATATAGTAGGATCCGTAATATGATTTAAGGTATATTCCTTAGTTAAGGGATATTGGAGTCTCTGGGTCGCAGGTGTTCAACTGCCTGTCCACCATCTTCACTTACGACATCTACAAACGCTTCCTCCACCCGGAGGCCCAGGGGTTAAGGCCGTTGAGGACCCCTACTTCCACGTAAATTTTGCCAGCAGATGGGCAGTTCCCTTAAGTAGGGTCCCTTTTAGGGTCTTTTTTTTAAATACGGGTGCCGTACTATGTTGGGGAACTACCCAGATTAACAACCTCCTGATGCTTGGCCGGCTTATCATTCAAGAAAGTCTCAAGTCTCGGTGCCCCAGCGTCCAGCGTGCTGTCTGCCTAGCTATGAACCCGAGCGACCGTTATGGCTATGAGGAGGCGCTGTCTGCGAGGATGACGAAATTCGGGGATGGGGAAGTCTCGCCAACAGAATCGGCTGATGAAGATGACGATGAAGACGACGATGAAGATGATGACTTTGAGAGCATCGTGAATTCAGGCTTCAGGTTTCCAGATCCAGTTCCGAGGCAGCAAATATCGACGGTGCATTTGGACGAGCAAGACGTTCTTGGACACAGCCTTAGTGGTGAGTTGCTGTTCCAGATTAAACGAAGTCGTTTGCAGGCTGAACTGTTCACAGCTGGAATGCTCTTGGAACTGATCTCAGAAGAGACCGGGTGCGAGGCCGGAATTTTGCTGCAGGATGGCCGCGAGCTGTCAATGTCCGACCCTGTCAGTGGAGAAGGAGTTCTGACCCTAAAGCAGACCATTCGGGACTGTCGACCCCTGCTGTGTCGAAAGATCTCTCTCTGGAATATGTGCGCTCCACGCTTCGGGGGCGGGGAAGTTCGCCCAGACTTTCACGACATGCTGGAGCCCGTCCAGGCATTGAGGGAGTGGCGGACGCGGGTGACAAATAGAGGTGTGGACAACAGAAATTGGTTGGTATATACCAGGCATGAAGTCATATCCTACGAAGCAGGCATTGATGAGCCGTTGAAGCCCGTCGGATATTTCCCCCACGCACCTTGCTGGAAGCTCCCGGTAGGAACCAGGCAGTGCGGAGGCGAACAAAGTGATGTATGGAGCACTTTCGTAAAACTGCCTGTGAGACAGCTGTTGGATGAGCATGCGGCCTTAACGTTGGATAGGCCGATACCACGATACCAGATGATCGTGGATCCCAATCAATTTGTTCACCAGACACGTGACGGTCCTGTGTGGGTGCCGTGCGAGTTTGATGTTTCTGCAGATGGCACTCCATCATTGGTGGGTGGTGCACGAAGTCATGAGTATCCACACCTTGCCCAGCATGTTGCGCGTCCGGTGCTCTCCGCAGCACTTCCCTTGTTGGCAAAGTTGCGGCGGCCGCAGCTTCTTCTGGATGATCGGCGGCTTCAAGTTGTGTTTAAGGCACAGAGAATAATTGTTCCAGGAAATGCCGGTAACCGCTCGGATGCAGAATATGTCGGTCTGTGGCATGTTGACGGCCACAGGGAAAGTGTGGCTGCAGTCGTGTTGTACTACTACCACGTTGACTCTTCTCTTCTTGGTGGTGACATGGAGTTCTGTGGCCGTGAGCCCATGGATGTTTTGGACAAGTGGGATTGCATGGAAAACCCACATCAATTGGGATCGGAGTCCCTGCGGCTGGCCTTCCACGGTGCAAGCCAGCATGGCAAGTCTGCTGCAGTGCACAACTGTCGGGTTCCAATAGGTGTGGGCACCCTTCTTGTGTTTTCGAACTATCAAATGGCACACCGGGTTCTGCGGTTGCACAACACCTCTGCGACAGAGGCCTCCCGCGACTTCGTGGCTCTCTTTGTCCTTGATCCGTCCGCGCCGGCCCTCCTGCCGGCAAGGAGTGTTCTGGCGGGGCGACAGTTGTTGAAACGGACCCTGGCTCCTGTCGGGATTCCAATAGCAGCCTTTCAGAACCTGCTGGAATTTCTGGGATTATCGCAAACCGACGTCGTGCGGAAGATGCAGCGAAACCAGCTGCTGTCGGAGCAGTTGAAGCCGTCCGGTGAGTTTGCGAATGGGGGTAAGGTCTTCACTACCGGGAACGGATGCTTTACCATGATCGGCTGGCTGCACAAGTTGCTCGAGCACCATGGAGACCGAGAATCCTTCCAGGAGTTGAACCCGAGAGGTTTTGAACGTCTCAAAGCGCTCAATCTGGCTCCCGAAGGCTCCAACCGCGGTCTCTCCGAGCTTCTCTCGCTGCCTACTACGAAGCTGCGTCAACGTCTTGGAGAAGTTGGCGAGGGCTCTGAAGCTGGCCCTGACGTGTTTCCTTCGGTGTTACAGGGAATACTTTTCATAGGTGTAGCTACCTTAGTCATACTAATCCTGCGTACTAAGTCTCCCTGATCCTTTAAGGAAGATGGCTCTGCAGATTTCGAGCCACAACGGCGAAGGCGTAGCTGCGGCCATGAAGCGCTGAGGCAGCTTCGATGTGTCGTTGCGTGAGCAGGCCTGCCGATGCTCAGCAACTTGCTGTACTGTGGCCGGCGCAGCGACGCCAAAAGCTGAGTGGCATGTAAATCCCGAACCCAAACTTACCTACCTTAAATTATAGTAGGATCCCTAATATGATTTAATAAGGTATATTTCTTAATTAAGGGAAATTGGAGCCTCTAATTATAAACCCTATATGCTAAACTATAGCACATCCCGACTGCGAAGCTTCGGGTCAGTCCCATGACCCAAGACCGTCAGGGCTTGCAACCCTTGAGCGAGCAAGCCCAAAATCCATTATAAAGGCGTCTGTAATAGTGACTGTACCTATGGTCTCCATTGTAGTTCCTTTTTTTGGTTTAACCAAAGCTATATTAAGGATCCTCAAAGGTAACCCCAAAAAGGAACTACAATGGAGACTATAGGTAGTGCATGTACAACTCGACTTGAGCATTCCCCGAATTTCCCCGCACTCCAAGTAGCTATGATGCTCCCCAGCGGTTTGTTCTTGACTGGGCCTCCTGTGGCATCCATTTCGAATCCAACTCTGTCTGACTGTAGTGGGGTCTCAGTTTTAGAGCCTTAGAAAGCTGGCAATGCAGGGGAGGAGGTACGGTTGATGGTAGAAATCCTGCATTCCCTTAAGGACCCTAAACTATGGGAATCATGGTATATTCCTTATTATGGGTAATGCAGGATTTGCATCGTTCTATATGTCCTGACTGCGCCCTCTGGATGTGCAGGCTTCGCGTCGTCGGCAAGTTTGGATTGGCCAGCTGGCCGCTTGTCTGCTCTGAAAATATACGCAGGGTTTATGGGTTCGGTTTTGGGGTATGGGTTCATCAGAACTGGTACCTTATTTAATATAGCCGTAAAGCCTAGGATCTACACGGCTGCAGAATCTAGTGTGCTGCAAAACCCGTAGACCGTTAAACCTCAACCGATTCCTATACACTGGCAGGCCCCTCCCCTGCGCAAGCCTTGATAATCGGAAGAACGTTTTGGGGTAAACTATACTATATTTCTAAGGGACTACAAGAAGACAAAGATTCCAACCCCCATAGTAAGCCGGTATACGGTGTTCGGGCTTAGATGGCCTAAGCACTGAAGTCAACCATTAGTGTCCCCGTAGAGTCCCTTCATAAGTGCAGTACACGGGGGTCGGGGGTTTCCCTTACAGTCTTTGTTGGCTGGAAACTCTATGGGCCCCTCCTAGACAATGTCCTTCGACGCCTTGTTTTGACAGGCTTTCGATGGAAAAAAGATGCGATGTCACGAGGTCATCAGCACGACGAAGATGGAAGTTTCGGTGCTCATAGGTCATAGATCACACGAGTGAAGCCCTACTAACCCCTAAACCCTTAACGGCTGGGTTTAGGCTTATACTCATGCTATCATGATGGGCCTGGCGCACCACAGACCTTTCAAGTCCAACATGGCTCTGCTGGAAATATGCTGCGACGACTGAACAAGGACCCCCCCCCCCAAGTTTGAGAAAGCCCCAACCTACATCCTGAAAATTAGTACCTGTTTTAGATAACCTGGCTTATGGTTAGGATCCTGTAGTCAGAAAGTCGTTTAAGGCCACGGCGAAGGTATGATTAACTGTCCGTGTCACTCTACTTTCTAGGCTCTGAGCTACTCGACACCTGCACGGCAGACCCTTTAAACCTTCATCCTGGACCCTAAGACACTATAGTCCGGAAAACCCGAGCTAAACACCTATGGAAATCCGAAAACCCTGAGCAACCCTAGCACCCAAAAAGCTTCAAACCCAGAAACTCTGAACACCTTAGGTACACCTTGAGAACTCGAAACCCCGGAAAAGCTCCAGAAACCCCCAAAAATTCTGACAACCTTGCACCTTGCGAACTCTAAGCCCTCTAGACCGAAAAAAAAGCCGATCTGCGCACCCCAAGGCCACGGGTGTCGCTGCCCTTTGCGGGCTGGCCTGGCTCCCGATGATTGCCAACAGTGCAAACGGACCTCTCGGGGGTTTAGGGCTTGGCGTTTAGGGTTTAGGGTTTATAGGGTTTGGTTTTTGGGGGTATAGTTAGGGTCCGCGCTTTGAGGTTTCAAGATATAAGGATTACCCATAGGCTCCATAGTAGTTCCTGTTTGGGATTTGGGATTACCTTATAGGATCCTAAATATAAAGCACCAAAAAATATTACTATGGAGCCTATGGGTAGGGCTTACTGGGATTTCACTCTAAGCAACAGGCAATGCATTCCGGGACTAGAGCCGAGACTGTTTGGGGTGTGTAGACATATTTGTTTGCCAGCAGGATCCACGCGTGGGACATCTGTTGAGGTTTTTGTTTCCCGGAATTTGGTTGTTGCATGTTTTGTTGCTTTCTTTGCTGATGGTACCGAAGTTGTGTTCATAATGTAGGCCCCTAGTTTACCCCCCTTCCCTTTCTTCAAGGCCCTTCAAACTAGGATACTTAGGATCTAGTCATCATTAAGGGAGACGGGTCTATCAGAGTCTATTAGTCAGAATTTGTCGGGTCTGGGTTTATATTTGTGGCCGCTACACGCAATGTAATTCCCCTTCTTAGATACCTGAGCTTCCTGGTCCTTCCCGAGAAACTTAGCCACGAGCCTTTCACGTAGGAAGGTACAGATAGGGTCATGCTCATGTTCTCCAGGACTTCCCAAACAGCCTCTAAATAAGACCCTCAAAGTTTTTCTCTCAGCCATTTGGGCTATAAAATCGAGGCTCGTGCAGGGTGTATTGGGTGCAGATGAGAGTGTCTCAAGCCTGTAAACTGTAAAGATCTAAAAAACATGAGCATTCCGATGCCTGACCGCTTAGACAGTGAAGCCTCAATCTGGCAGCTTCCAGCTCTATCAAACTGGTCTGAAATCCATGAAGCGAAACTCCATGGAGCAGTGCATCCCGAAGTATCAAAACCCTAGTACAGGAAACTGATTAAGAAACCCTGCATCTTTAGGGGCTCTTTATATGAATCCTGGGGCCAGGGGTCTCCTGATCAGGTTCCTACATTAGGCTGCAAGCAGTTTATCTGCGGTGCGCCGCAGGATTGTACCTGACCACACAGAGTGCGCAAACTCACATGCACCTCGACATTCGGTTGTGGGGGGGGAGTCACGGGAGCGAGGGTCCTATCAATTTTTGGGCATTAGACGTTTGTATCAGCTTTGTGGTTTCCCGTTTGGCCAACGGTTTCAAGATTTCAGGTGGCCGTCTCGAGCGAAATAGCTTCGCAGTGAAATTAAGGTTCAGCTCGGACAAAAGCTAGCGCTAAGCCAAGCCCTCAGGGCCAAGTGCTCCAATAGCACGCTTTCCCGGCCCAACTTCCTCGTTGGTACCTTGCATAGATCAGGCCAAAGTGCGTTCCTCACCTAGGGGGCGCGGTCCTTAATGCTTTTGGACCTAAATACCTCTGTTCCCACACCCACACCCACAACACCCGGAGACCAACAAACACTTGGAGCTCTATATAGGATGCGACAGTCTCATTCAAAGCTGCCGTCGTATCGTTTAAAAAAACAAACCACGACCTGTAATCGATGAAAACACTCGTAAGATCCCCCACCTTTCCCTGTTCTGGGAAACCCTTCATGCCTGGATATCCACCGCGTGAACCCTGTAAAAAGGCCCCATATACAACATTATTAAAATCGACCCTGTCAGGCTCATAAAATCCTGAAAAAGCCCTATAATTCTCCTAAGGTGACCTTAAAAAACCCTAACGTGCAGCAGCCCTTGAAAGGCTTAAAGGAGGGACCCCCGGTCGCTTCCGAGGTCTCCGACCTTGGTGGCAGTCTTCCTCGTGGGCCTTTTCTGGCCCAGGGCGAACGGACCAGGCTGGCTCTCAACAGCTTCGGGGTCAGAGCTTGGGGTTGGAGCTTTAAGGGGTCGAAAAGGTTTAGGGATGTTTAGGGCCTTGGGGCTTAGAGTTTTTTTTTGGGGGGGTCAGAGCTTAAGGGCAAAAGGTCGAAACAGTTAGCAGTTAGCAGTAGCATTCCTTCGGGTATTCGCGGCAATTGTTGTAGAATTCGAACTTTCCCCCGAAGACCCAATCATCATCACAGCTTCGGGGAGTGCTCAGTGCTTTAGGGTTCAAGGGGTGTGATGGTCTTAGCCAGGTTAGCCTTCTGGCCATGATTGAGGCAAAAAGCGGAAAACGTCTCAAGACTTGCGTAGTAGAGTTCGGGCTCACTGTGGATCTAGAATGCCGAGGTTGTTGCATGAACCTCTACATCGGTCCAGAAGCATCAAGGCCTGAACCCTAATTCCTGAAGCTTGTCAGGGGCACTGGCGGGCATGATCGTGGGCTTCACGGTTGGCATCGCCAGGTGCTGCCGGCAGAGTCACGATGTTGTTGTTGTTGCTTCGTGTGCTCCTGCGCCGCTCTTGCAAGCTCTGAGCCGCATCGCATTGACAAGTCTGAGCTGAATTGGTGCTGCTGCTCCTGTTTTAGTGCTGCTCCTGCTGCTGCTGTTGCTCCACCTCCCAGTATACGACTGCTCCTGTCACTACAGGCCTACTCTTAGTGCGACATGTTGCCGCGATGGTTTCTGACAGCTTTGCGGGGTCTAGCATGGCTGGTGTGGGGTCAGTGGACCCTGAACCCCAAAACCCCAAAGTCCTAAATACCCCGAGTCCCTAAATTCGAAGCCCTGCTATTCGTGCGATTGCCGCCAGGTTTGTGGCAACTCGTATCGTGACCTGCGACGAGGGCGACACCTACAGCCTCACATGCACCTAGACGGGCTTCAACTGGCTTGATACGCTTTACATGGAGGTTTACTGGGGTTGATAAAGGCGTGGGGCTTCGGGGTAGAAGGTGTTGGGCTCGGGGCTTAGGTTGGGCAGGGCGAAGGTTGGAGTGTTCAGCGGCTTAGCCTGTAGGGCAGGGCTCAGGGCGCAAGGTTGAGGGTTTGGGGTTGGGGTTCAGACGGTTCAGGGAAAGTGAGTTGACGGCTTTATGGTACTTCTCGAAAGTTCAGATTTTCCACAGTGTGCTTACCCCTCACGATTCTGGACCGGCCTTGCTACCAGCAATTCCCCAAGTTGCTGGCAGATTTGATGTTTCTTCTTGCGTTACTCCTCCGGTGACACAGCTGGCAGCCGAGGTATGCAGTTCAACCACATGGCCTTGATCCTCTTTGCTGGGCCCTGAGTTTCGGAGAGTTACAGAGAGTCCGCGACCCTGTAGTCATCACCATCATCATCGTCGTCGTCGTCGTTGTCGTCGTCGCCGGCATCATCGCCAGCTCGTCGTCATGATCAGCAGCATTGTCTTCTCGCCAGTGCCAGCACGTGAACTAGTCATATTTATCATCTTCACCCTCATCATCATCAGCAGCAGCAGCAAAATCATCCTCGCCATCATCATCATCATCACCATCATCATCATCAGCAGCACCAGCAACATCATCATCGCCATCATCATCGCCATCATCATCATCATCATCATCACCATCATCAAGATGATCATAATCAGCATCATCATCATCATCATCGCCATCATCATCATCATCATCACCATCATCATCATCATCATGATTTCATCAGCAACATCATCATCGCTATCACCAGCAGCAGCATCAGCATCAGCATCAGCATCAGCATCAGCAGCAGTGATGCCATCGCCAGAAGCACAGGCCATTTTCGTTCGAACCCGAAGCCTCGCACATGGACGTCGCATGCCCAAGTGTGAACAAGGAGCGAAAACCCTGAAGATCTGACATCCCAAACCCATAAACTGGTATGTGCTACGCAGCCAGATTATGGCAGCTCCTCATAAATTTTTGCTCAGGTCTTATTGATGACGAGGATCCTTCTTTTTTTTGGTGGTCTGTATTATGTTCCCTCACTTTCTGAAGCTGCCACATGAACCCGAAGACCTGCCTGGAGAAGACAGAGGCCATTGCGGCTGTCGTCACCGTCGTAGTGAGTCTTCTGACGAAGCCTCCGGAGCCAAGCCAAGTGCAGGGCACAACATGGTGGAGGCGCAAGCTGCGGCTTGCTTGCTCTAGGGTTTCGGGGGTGGTTTAGGTCTGTAGAGGTTCAGGAGATGGGTTTTACGATGTAGGTTGTTGGCTTTACAGTAATCTGGGTTTTACGGGTGGGAACTTTAGGAGCTCGGGATTGGGGTGCTGACAGTTGTAGTTGCGTTTCAAAGTAGGAGAATATCCAGAAAATGAGGAAATCCGTAAGAAAGGTCAGATCGAATTCCGGCCTAGGGCTTAGGGCCTAGGGAGACATGGATTCTTAGAGTGTTTGGTGCTCCGTGGCAGGTCGGATGCTGAAGGCTGCGAGGAAGAGGCACAAGCTTATGGGGAAATTGAAGGGATTGTAGTGGTGCATGCCAGCGCTGCACATCAAGCTCGAACCTTCCGCGAGCAGTGCGGTTTTGGTTTACATAAGTGTTGGCGCTGAGTGTCTAACAGCTGGCGCAAGGGTCTTTGCATGTAGCTTCCTCCAGGTAGAAGCAGATCTAGAGTGAATCCAGAGCTTCAGAACCGAACCTCAACCTCTCCTTGGGTGGCGCATCATACGCCTCTTGCTGGCCGGACCCAAACTGGTCGGAGTCTGAGCAGACAGAACTGACAGAACACCCAGAAAGGACACCTCATAATATGAAGACCCCTCCAGACTGTGTGGCAGCGAGGCTGGCGGCAACCCTGGTATCGGCTCCCTCTGCGCTGCTGGGATTCTGCTGATGACAATGGCCGGTGCGCCCGAGGGCGAGTACATATACATGCGCGAACCTATACATCTGTCTATCTACATACCTGCCTGTCTACCCATCTATCTGTTTATATGCCATGTTTGCATGAGACATGTAGATAGGTTTAGGTCCTGGGTGAAGGATTCCGGGTTTAGGCCACTTGGGTTGTTGGGCCCTGGAACCGCTACATATTTCGCTGAATACAGGTTTTGGTCCAGAGGGTGTGGACTTAGTAGATCTTAGTAAGTAGAGTTTGGGCGGAGGAGGCGCCGGAGCCCCCATCCCTGAGAAGGAGGTTGGGAAATCTCGTGCTGTGCATTGTCCGACAGAGGCCCTAGCCAACCCCTTAGCTCATGAACTCCAGTCTTGGTTTCGGTCCTCGATCTTCGGTGTGATGGCTTCCTGTTTGGGTCTTTCGCTGCCCTAAACCTGTGTCCGATCTTCGGACGAAGTTCAACATGCCCGTCCGGCCAATTTCGACTCTCAAAACTATCCTTGAAGATCGGAATCTCCTCAGCTTGAACCCTTCAGCCCTGACATCCCTCAACCGGAGCCCAAGTCCGCAAAGCATCAACCGCAAAGCGCTGGCCCCTTGACCTATAAGACGTATAGACCCTGAAGTCTACGCCACGTAAAACCGGACAAGAGCGTCTCCAGGTCTCTGTCTGGGCTTCGGTTACAGCGGCGTGGACCGCCAACTGGTCGTGGGAGGATCACTGCTGGCTCCAGTAGGCCTGGGTTAGTCGGGCTTTAGCTTTCAAGATGTGGGCTTGAGGATTTCGCAGTTGTTGGTGGAGGGAGGCAACGGGAAGGGTGTTGGGCTTCAGCGTTCACTCCGCCGGGTATAGTTTACTTTCAAGAGTGTCGTTGAGGTTGTAATGCTGGCGATATTTTGGAATTGGCTTCGTGTACCTGTGCCCAAAACATGCCGAAAACGTGATTTTAGCGCGCCTGCATAGAAATGCGGTAATGCAAACCAAGCTGCCCAAGGAACCCTCAAGCTAGAGCCGAGGCTCCAAACGCTAGCTGCTAGCTGCAGCTCAAGTCAACCCAAAGACCTCAATAGTCTTGCTCTTTGGGCCCTTGAAGGTCTGCTGATGCGATTCTTTCCAGCCTGAACCCGAGGCCCCCTTTGGCTTTCGATGGTCCGCAGCTTCCCTCCAACCTCAAGCCCGGAACCCCAAAGCCTTGAAGCCCGAACGCGGAACCCAAAGCCCGTGCACCGAATGCCCCCGTAAACCCTGAACCCCTGACTCTTAGCCTGATCCCTGAACCCTCTAAGCTAAAATCGAGACTCTACTTCCTAAATCTAGCAAGCCTTCATTGCAAACCGCCCGCAGGCATCGCATGCGTTGCCGCCTGGGGCTCGGTCAAACCGCTAACGATAAAGCTTGTAAGCTTCTGGGGCTAAGGGTTTAAGGTTTACTATTGTTTAGGATTTTGGGGGTTAGATTTGAGGGCATTGGGGTTTGATTCGCATGTGGCCTGAGAGATCGACTTGCATTCTACCTGGCACTTTCAGGCTTCACATAGCGAGTAGATGCTTATGGCACGTAAGGGGCTATCGCCCATAGTTCTTCCCTTGAGCCCGAAGCCCTAAACGATAGAAGCCAAATGCCCCCTTATTGCGAAGCAAGACCTTAAACCCCAGCTCCTAGGCAGTCGTTCTATCTGTAAGCCGCACCATGGAGAAACTTTGCTGCATAAAGGCAAGCCTCAGACCCACACCGCCATGCCTAAAAGCTGCCAGCTCCTAAAGAGTCCATGCGGTCGAGAGATACCATGCCCCCCGAAAGCCCAAAATCTATACCCTGAAGCCGAAGCAACAATCCCCAAGGTCCCCAAGAGATCACTCAGGTTGTACGGCTGACGGTCAGCACCGCATGAAAAAGCTCTAGCGCTGCACGATAAAGATCTGTACAACTACAACGAGCTGCTGCTGCTGCTGCTAACTCTAGTCACCTAAGCAACCTGGAGGCTTAATTCGTTGACTTCTTTCGAGTATAACAGCCCGAAGCCTCAGCAAAACCGCCGAGGTCGTGTTTGTCGGTGGAGCAACTCTTACACGACTTCGCGCCTCCAGGAGGCCGACGGGCAATGGACTTGTGGGTGTCTTGTCCCGTCTTGCCTTACACAGATCAAAGACATGTTTCAGAACGGTACAAGAAAACATGCATGAGTGAATAAGTTAATGAAGGAAGGAAGGAACGAACAAACGAATCAATGCTGAATGAAGGATGCATGAATGAGTTGTCGACTCAATGAAATGCATGAGCGGATGCATGAAGGAAGGAAGGAAGGAAGGAAGGAAGGAACGAAGGACTCAACATGTGTGAATGAAATGAATGAAGCAATGGAGTAATTGAATTGCGTAGCAAATGAATGAAAGAACGAATGAATCAATGAACAAGTGAATGAATGAACAAACGAATGACCGAATGACTGAATGAATGAACGAACGAAGGAATGACAGACAGACGGACTGAATCAATCAATCAATCAATCAATCAATCAACCAGTCAACCGTTCATTTAGCCGTGCAATCAATCAAAGCACGCATCTATGTACGACTACATGAAGGAGTCATTGAATGAAGGAATGAATGATGGAATGAAGGATTGAAAGCATGAACTGAAATTAAATGAACTGAAGTGGGGTGAAGTGAAGTGAAGTGAGTGAACTTATCAATGAATCAATGAATGACTGAAAGAATCAAGGTGTCAATGGGTCAATCAATGAAGGAGGGAAGGCACGAAGGAACGACGTGAATGTATGAATCCACCAATCAATCAATCAATCCATCCACCAATCCATCAACCAATCTATCTATCTATCTATCTATCTATCTATCTACGTATCTATCTATCCATCAATCAATCAATCAATCACTCTATCTATCTACCTATATCCATTTATCTATCTATCTATGTATCTATGTATCTATCGATCTATCTTTCTTTCTATCAGGTAAGCAAGCAAGCAATCGTTCAGCCAATCAAATCATTCAGTCAATCAAGCAGTCAAGCAAATACCAGTCAACATGTCAGTCAATCACTATACCTACGCAACTCTGAGAGCGGCGGGGAGTTTCGGAAATTCGGAGACCCGCACCTCTTGGTGACCCAGAGACAGGCGCAAGGCCAAGCAGATCACGGGGCTTCAACCTGCCGACTGCGAAGCAGACAAGAAGGCAACCGGGGACCCCTCAGAGTAGAATTTGGTCCCCCCCCCCCCACCTTCGCATACCCATAGGCCCCTTGATGAAGGCGGAGGAGATAGGGTTTTGGGGATTCTGCAAGTGTTCCCTGGTCAGCTGAGGATGAGCCAGAAGAGACCCTGACCTAGAAGCCTACAGGTGTATTGGCGTGCTTAAGCACCACGAGCCCTTTACCAGAAAGCCATACGCCCTCGACACTATAATCCCATCCCGAATTAAAGACTTATAAACCCTAAACCAAGATTTATTGTAAATGTCCCTGAGAGGCTGCGGAAGAGCCCGCGAAGGACGAAGGCGCTGTTGAGATGTAAAGAGTACACCAGCAACCTCGCTGCTGAGTTCAGGTTCTGATTTTTTATTTCACCAACCTTCACCCTTTGCCGTAGATACTGGACTCGAGACCCTGCGGTCAGCACCGAAACCACCGAGGCATTCCCGGATGTTGAGAACACTGCACGTGTAAAGAAGCTTGTCCGCATGAGGCACTCATTTTCTCATGCATTAGTTTTGAATGTAGCACCTGAGCAGACATGCAAGCACAAGGACTTGCTGTGGAAGAATTCATGTGCCGTTGTCTCCTTGCATGAAGTATGTTAGTACGTGCATTCATCATTTAGGATGAGCTGAATCGAGCGAGGTTCGGGACATGTTTGCACAGAGAACTGGCTAGTATTCCCAGCTAGAGAGGACCTTTACGCGACATGCAAGTCGGCGTTCACGGCTATAGCTGGGCATGCCACTGGATGAGCCAAGCCATCCAGGCATCTCAGATGTGCATGCTCATAGACCGGAACAGACCTCACTGGAAATAGCGAGCTAACATCTTCTTCAGCAGCCTGCCAAGGAGCACTTCATCCCTTGCTTGACCAGATTGTTCTTGTTGAGGTGTCTAGCTGTGGGGTGGAGGCATGCAGTACGATTGTTTGGCACTCTGAGCTCGGAGTGTGAGGTTTGGGGTCCGAGTTTAAAGTTTAGGTTTCAGGGTCTGAGACGTGGTGTCTTCAGGGCTATGCGGGCTCTGAGTAGGCTGCAGGTAATGCTTCACTTGGCACCATCGGCTGTGCAGATACAGGTGGTCTTGTGATTCGAGTAGGGTTGCACCTCGCTTTCAAAAGAGATATAGTGGTTTCGGGTATAATTTGCCAGATATCAGCCTTTTAGGGAGGGTTGCCACTGGGGTGGTATTTCGGGTTTAGGGCGCCTGAGGTTTGAGCGGTAAGGTGCCATGGAGGAGTCCCAGCTCTTGATCAAGGCTTTGATCGCTGCTCGTTATCAAACAAGTCTCTTCAGAAATCCTCAGTGTGTAAACTCAGAGCCGCTTGATTTGCTGCTGCTCACCGAAGCCTCAAGCCCGGAAAGGTTTGTTAGGCTGCGTGCAACAGGGACTCCCAGAGCCAACCTTTTGGCAGACGACGGTCCTAGGCGAGACAGCCAAGTTCCTTGAGGATCTAGGGCGGATAGGGCAAAGGGCCCCTTAAACAAGGAAGCCCCATAAATACCCTAAACCCCCGAAGCCCCAAAACCTAACGGACTCACGGTTGGTTTGCAGATTGGGGGTTTCAGATTCAGTCCCGAGGCCCCAGGCCGAGCCCGGAAGCCGTGAGAAGCTCCAAAGTTGGACCTCGGTGTTGCGTTTCGGGTTTATAGGGTTTAGGGTTTAGGGTTATAGGGTTTAGAGGGTTATAGGGTTTAGGGTTATAGGGTTTAGGGATATAGGGTTTAGGGTTTAGAGGGTTATAGGGCTTAGGGTTTAGGGTATCAAGAGACTTCGCCCGACAAACTGTCGAAGCGAGCTTGCACAATGCGTATAGATATCGGTGGCAGCCAGGAGCTCCAATTCCTGCAAAATGCTTGTGGAGAGCTGCTTGGCCACAGCCACGGGGTGTAGACGGGCGTTGTGGGGAGCTTCAAGTTGGGATAGGATATAGGCTGATAGGTTTTCAGTTTCCGATGTTGTGATGCATTCGGGACCCAGGATTGCTCTTGTCCGACTCAGGTTTTACTGTCCAGGGTGCGTTTTGAGTTGCGAGAGATGATCATGACCATGCCAGCTTTCGCCCATAGCCAGGGGCGCATAGCTGCAACTGTCTGTCATTTCACCTGTGGCCTCGCAGCAGCTTGTGGCTTGGAAATTGCTGCAAACCTGTGTGGCGTGCCGGCGCAGTATGCCCAGCATGACCGAGCGCGGGGCGATCGTCGAGGTCGACCCTCCCAAGCTCGAGGCCGGAAGTTTCAACAAGCTGGCGAATTCAGTGTTCCGTTCTTCTGTTAATTACCTTTGCCGAGTCTTTCCTGTCAGGCCACCTGGCGCCTCGAGCCAGCGGACGTCGCACACACCAAGAATGGAGAGCAGATTATCAGCCCACAGCTGCAGCTTTGGAGGCACTGCTTTCGCATAGAACTCTATCCCCATGGACGCGATGCAGAAAGCGAAGGTTACTTCAGCGTGTTCATGCTTGTGCCGGTGAAGGCGCTCGTTGACATTGACGTGGCTGGAGTGACTCAGCGTTTTGACATCACGGAAGAGAAATTGAGGAAGACGAGAAACGGAACAGTTGGCTGGGGATGCCTGCAGTTCTGCTTGGTCCCCGACCTGACAAATCCAGTTGATATACGAGTCCGATTCGGGCACATCGAGGGCAAGGATGCCAAGCTGTTGTCGGAGGAAGCTGAAGTCCTTCGCCGCAAGCCCACAGAGGCCATCAAAATCCAGGCCTTGTGGCGTGGGGTTGAGAGCCGGCGACGGGAGGCGCATCGCCGGGCGGAGGAGCAGCGGCGCCGCCGCCATTCCCGAGAGCTGACGGCGGCCCTGTGCCTGCAACTGGCATGGCGCCTGCACCAGCGACGCCTGCAGCGCCGCTGGCACAGCAAGATGGTGCAGGCGCAGAGCACTCCGTACGATGCCATCCTGGCCTTCGAGTCCTTGTCGCAATTCCTGTCGACCGGGGAAATCCGGTTCCTGCGGCATGCAGACTCGAAGCTGCAGGTGGCGGGCGCCGCGCGCTTCCGCATCGTGGCGGTGGTTGGCCTCTTTGACAAGGGCAAGACCTTCCTGATCAACCAGCTCTTTGGCGTGAACTTGCCTTCCGGGAAGCTCCACACCACAAAGGGCTTGAGTTTCTTGTGGATTGAGGAGCGTCGGATGCTGGTCCTGGACTCTGCAGGCGTGCAATCCACGGTGTCCTACCGTGCCCAGGCCGTTCAGGATGCGATCCTTGACGCCCAGACCACGGAGTCCCTCATGTTCGAGATGATCTCGCGCATCGCGCACCACATGATCTTCGTGGTCAACGACCTGACCTGGTTCGAGCAAAAGTACATGGCCATGCTGCACCAGAAGTACGTGCAGGGCGGGCAGCAAAAGGAGCTTGTCGTGGTGCACAACCTGAGGAATACTACGGATGTCCAAGAGGCCTGCAAGCTGTTCAGCCGCCAGGTGACGTGCTGCTACGATGGCGAGCAATCCCACTTGGGCGAGCTCATCTTTACACAGGATGCCGGAGCGGGTGCCCCGCCTTTGCACCACATCGGCCTCTGCTGCGAGTTCTCGAAGGCAGGCGATGCATTCAACGAGAAGAACCGGCAGCACCTCCTGCAGAGCCTGGAGCATCGCAACAGCCTCGGGTCGGAGCTCGTCCTGGCAGACATCTTGACGGCAGAGCTCGCCCGGCTCCTGCCGCGCTTCGTCAACATCGAGGCGGAGTGCCCGGAGAGCTCCCTGTGCAGCCCCGACCAAGCCATCGGCGTGGAGTTCTCCGATGCAAAGGGGCCTACTGCAGAGGAGTGCCTCAAGGCGGGGTACAACTGCGTGGGCGTCCTGCGAATGAATCTCGCGCAGGAGGGGGCCCGTGTGGCCATGAAGACCCGCGGAGTGATTTCTCCTTTGGGCGAGATTATTGCTCACGATGTCAGCTTCGATCCCATCGTGAACGTCTATGACCGGACCACCACACATGGCACAAGCCGAATCATCCGCATTGAGTGCCCCGGGGTGACAGAAGAAGACGTGGAGTGGGAGGAGCTGCCCAACGGTGTGAAGATCAGCGTGGACAAAAAGCGGCCGATTGACGAGCATGCCGTGCAGCC